TCATGACTTTTCCGACAACCCAATACTTGACATCTTTAGGCATTGAACAAGCAAGCAAATGAATAAATGAGTGTGGGTCTCATTGTCTCCAATTCCCAGTGAGTCACTGAGCTCAGAGAGGGTCAGGGACTTGTCCAAGGTCACTGCGAGTTCAGGTCCGTGCTTTCCAGAGTGACTGCATCGCTTTCTGCCCTGCCCCCAGGCAGCCCCCTGCAGTAGAAGGTGCAAGCTTTGGTAGTCCCCCGAGGTGGCTGCTGGTCCCAGGCTGCCATCTGTGTGGCCTCGGCAAGTTGCTGGGTCTGGGTCTGGGCTCCTCCTCTGAAAAGAAAGACACTGGTCAGAAGTTGCCAGACCAACTAGCCATACACCAGTGTAGGTATTCCTGGGTCGTCAAAAGAATACTTTTCTCAAATGTTTCCCCCAAACACAGCTAAATAAAAGGTTTTCTCCTCTGTTAAGTCAGTTAAAAAGAGAGAATACGATCCTCAAATCTCACAAAAGCTGAACATGAAACTGGAAAAAAACTGCCTTGCAGACGTTAGTTTTGTTTTTGTTTTAAGACATTGATTTTGCATGCTCCTGAGTCTCACTAATGACTTTACTCCTCTGTGAAGTCCAGTCTCCTGGAGGATAAGCCAGTATCTGTCAGTCATCCAGGAGAGGCTGAGCTTGGCTTTTCACCGGAGGCTCTGAATCAGTCTGAGTGGATGGTTTCGGCCCTTTGGCACAGTGATGGGCAGCCTGTGCGTTAGGGAGAGAGCTGTGATCGCATACCTCCCAGCTGTCAGCAGTGGAACACGATAGAAGCTTGTGTCTTGTTCACAAATCAGTCTTGGGTGGGCAGTGAGTTCAGAGAGGCAACTCACTTCCACGCTGTCACTCAGGGACCCAGGCGTCTTCCCTCCTGGAGCTCTGCCATGCCCCAGGGCCACACTGTGTTTTGCATGCAGATGATGGAAGGGGGAAGAGGTGGAGGGCACAGAGGTGAGGCTCTCCAGGTAAGACCTCGACCTGGAAAGGTCCTTCACTCACTTCCACTGGCTGAAACTTAGTCACGTGGCCTAGCCTGCTGCCAAGGAGGCTGGAGAGCGTGCAGCCGTGCGCCACGGAAGGAGGGGAAGGGGTTTCGGTGGGCTTGGCGGTCTCTCCGTCACCTCT